GCTGTGGCCATGAAGGCATTCACACAATTTCATCTAATGTGCCAACTGCATCCATACCTGGACTGGGAGGCCCTTAAGACAGTCATTTATCCTTTGGTCACCTTATGTTTGGTATATTGCAATGCACTTTACATGGGGCTGCCCTTGGAGACTATACAGAAGCTACAGCTGGTCCAAAAGGCAACAGTACAGGAAATTATAAACATGCCACGGTATGCCCATGTAACACCTTTGTAGTGGGAGCTGCAACGGTTATCAGTAGGCTTCCAGGTACAATTCAAAGCGCTGGTCATCACCTACAAAGCCCTGCATGGTATAGGGCCTGGCTTTCTGAGGGGTTGCCTATTCTCCGTAGTTTCTGTCTGTTCTATATGAGCTGGCAGTCAGCACACTCTGGGTTCCATCAATTCAATAGTGTCATCTGAAAGAACACAGGAAGTGGGCCTGCCCTGTGGAATGATATTCTGCAACAGATTGGTATGCCCTTCCCCAGACTTTATTCAAACAAACTTTTAAAATTTTGCTCTTTCCCCAGGCCGTGGGGTAGTACGGGTGGCAGACCCCTCATGGAGAGGACTGGTTTGTGTAAATTCTATATTATTTTTCCAGACATGTGATATTTGTGTTGTTTGCATTTTATTTTTTGAAATGTATACTGGTACTTGCTCAGAGTCATGATGGAAGTAAGCAGCATATAAATTTAATAAATAATATTAATAATTATATAACATGGTCATCTAATTCTATCAGAAGCTAAGAAAACAGATAATGGCCTGAAGAAATGGATTATGGAAGATTCCACCAACCTGTAAGCACTGCTTTTGCTGATGGATCTGCTAAATCAAGTGCTGTTCTTCCATCAGTATTACGGATACTTGGATCAGCACCATGCTGCAACAATACTAAAAGGAGCAGGAATATATTTAAAATCTTGTGGTAGAAAGCCTAACCTTCCAGCAGGCATGCGATATCTCAAAACCAATGATGATTTTCCTTCATACTTTTTGAGACATATCTATATGAGCTAGTGCAGTGTAGTAGCTAAGGTGGTGGAATGGGGACGCTCAGGTTCACTTTCACCTTCACCCACAATGCTCCCTGGGGGACTTTAAGCCAGTCACTATCTCTCAACCCAACCTCCTTCAATGGCCTGTTGTGATTAATATATCTAATGCGATATAATGTATCTGAACAAAAACCTATCAAATACAGCCAGACTAAAATCCACATGAATCCCAAGCTGCTGCTTCTTTGATTCACCCTTATGCTAAAGAGATACCGAAAGCTTCTCCTCAAAGATATCTATTCAGATCACCTACAGTACTGTTTGGCCAAGTTGAACAAACATCTTATATATCCTCACCTATCCAGAGATGCCCGAAGTTAAACGTAACTTCGTTTTCAAAGAGAAAAGGGCTGGGATGAAATTCAAAAAGTCTCTATCAACCACACTGGTAAAATTTCCTTAAATATTCAGGTTCCTGATCACTTCAGTTAGCTAAAGTTTCACTTCATTTTAAAAAGCAACTGACCGATTCTGAAGCCACTCTGCTAAATTGTTAAAGAAATACACAGAACTGGAAACTGAAATTGATTTATTTCTTTTGACTAGCTTGATTGTGGGGTTACCCATGTGCCAGATAACCAGACATTATATTAAAGAACAGCTGTAGCAAAGAAACTTTTCCTTCTATACAGCTTAATAAGATTAATTCTCTTATGTTCAGATTGAGAATTATATTAATTATTAATCAGATAAATTGTAGTAGCATATCTTTGAAATATATGAAACACCTACAGAAATGGAGGTGTAAATTCCCATATACTTTTATTAATTTTGATGCCACTTTCTACCTAAAAGCACTCAAAAGAGTGACCTGAAAATACTTCAATTCATGATACTGTAATATTTTAAAGCAATAAAACCGAACACTCACATGAATCCAGGAACTAATTATTAAAAATTCATTTTAAGAATTTGGTGGCAAAAGTTAACCTTTGTTTTGAAAGAATAGGAATATTTTCACATTTCTATGTAGCAGGACTAAATAAGAACCAAGGAAAAACATAATGGAGCAGAACAAGCCAGGGAAACATCCTCCAAGAATAAGTATCTTATACCACATTTTCAGTATTATCTCTAATGGAAACATTTCTTCTCCTTTGCATCTATCCAAATGCCAAATATCAGCTGGAACAGAAAATCTCGCATCTCTATCAGTTTTTTCCCTCTGGCAAGAAATTTATGTGAATTCTAAGTAATTTCCCTGCTAAGCCTGGGACTGCAAAATCAAAACTATATTGGGACAAATTCCAATTAATATAATGGTTAGTTTGCTGCAAAATACTTATGGATCAAGGAATAAGGTAGGTTATGTTAGGCTGGTAATGGTATCTCCATGCACACGCTAAAGGATAAACTCCTAAACCATTCTTAACATGATCGTATTACTAATTCCTCAGCCAGATTCCCACAAACAGAAGTAAAATGAAGGATTCTTTTGCAATACCCACAAAATTCAACATTTTTAACAGCTGAAGACTTTAAAAAAATATCTGATTATCACTAAAAGTACTTTAAATCAAAAATGTCAGTTTGACTTGGATAGTTTGAAAGTCTGGTTTCTGTTAAGAAAGATTCTTGAATTATTTTATGTAAAAATCACTGGAGAAAGAATTTTGAAGGGTTACCTATGCAGACATCAATTTTGCCCTTGATGGCAGCTTCATGAAGAGGAGTATAGTTCCAATTATCTCTTGCATTAGGATCTGCACCATGGCGCAGGAGAAGATTGACAACTTCAGCATGCCCAAACGAGCAAGCGTTATGAAGTGGAATGAGGCCCCCATCGTCTCGTGCATGTACATTAGCACCACTCTGAAGCAAGTATTCAACTACATCCCGTCGACCAAAACCTGAAACAAAAAGGAGTCTTGGACCTGGTATGGAATCACTAAACAAAATTAAGGCTGATAATGGGCATGAGTCTTCAAATTAAAGAACTGTAACATTTCCAACAAAACTACGAAACTATGGAGAGAAAAATCCACATTTACCTTTAGAAATGAACAGGCAAACTGGAAAAAAAGTTTTACTCTTATCAAGGACAATTACCAGCCAGTAGCAATTGTCTCTTCAGGCTGCATTTTTAGAACAGAAATGGCTTTTGGATGCCCTTGATTGTAGCCCTATTAGTCCTTCTAAATGTGCGTACAGCTGTTGATACCATACCACCAACAATGGTATCCTTTGAAGTTGCTAGCATCTCACAGTATCTCAGTGGTTTCAGGTCTCTCCAGGCAGCTGACAAAATAGTGGTAAGAATATTTAGGTTCCACAGAAGCCTTCAAATCCTATTTTCTTTTCCTTTGCTTTTAATATCTGTTTCAAACAACTGTAGGAAGTTATTTAAAAGGTTGGTCTGTGAGATCAACAACATCCAGATAACCTGCATTTCTGCCTCAGTTTTCCAATGACTATGAAATGCAAACAGATATATGGGGGTGGTTTAGACACGCATGAAACCAAACAAGCCCATCCTTATCATATGCTATGTGTGTGCACGCATCATTATTGTTCCATGCATGTCCTTTTTCCTTCTGGCAGGAGGAAGAGGCCTCATAATTGCAGTCCTCCACCTCTTTCCACTCCAGGTGCATGGCAGGGAGGGGGGAAGGGGTAGATATGGAAGACCTCACTGTAGTCCCAAAAGCACCATTCCAATTCCATGACTGTCCTCCTGTCCCAAGGGCCAGTTTCTCTCTCTCTCTCCTTACTCCTTCTAGCACCATTTTATTTCTGGAGGACTTCATTCCACGGTGGCTTCTTCCTCAAGGCCTTGTCATTCCAGTCCCTTAATACAAGGATAACACCCCCTGCCCTTCATTTTAATTTTTTGTTTCTTTAGTCCTTCCCTTCCCAAACCCATTCTGCGCCTCCCTTGCAGCTCAAGTACCCTCCGCATTCATTTCAATGGAAATTAGTCACGTTAACAGCCAGTTTCCGCTTCCATTATTTTCCTACGGCCGTCCTGGGCCCCCATTCTATTATTGATACGCCCAGCCAGCCGTCCCCAAGCGGCTCTTCTGCAGCTTCGTCGGGTCGCAGCACCGCGCCCTCCCCATTCAGCCCAGAAAGCCACGGGTGGAGACGTACAGCCACCATACCTGCTTTGGGGAGGGTGACGGCAGTGCCGACCGCGCGCCCCTGAAAGGAAGCGTCCCGAGGGAGGGGGCGCGCGCGCGAGGGCAACAGGGCTCCTTACCTGCGGCGAAATGGAGGGGGCTGGACTTCCTGCCGGCCGTGTCCCTGCCGTTGACGTTCTCGGGCCTCACCAGCCGCTTCACGCGCTCCACGTCGCCATTCCGGCAAGCCTCGAAGAGCTCGCGGGCGGGCTCCGACGCGGCTCCCCCGACCGCACCACGACGACGACGGCGCCTGCTGCAGCGCTTCCC